AGCAGATTGAGAATTTTCTGTAGAAATATGGATTGCTTACCATGCAGCTCCCAGCTTGCTATGTAGGATTTCTTGTCTGCTGTAGCTACATGCTTTCCTTCTTCAACATGGGTCACAGCAATTCCCGTGCCAGATGAGGTGTTTGGAGCAGGGAGGCCTGGTAGGGGCAGCACTGTTTTCCTCCTTCCTGTAAATGAAATAAGGCTTTCTGGTTGGATGGATAAAATTCAGAAGGCTCTGCCTACGTGAGCAGATGAGAAGGAAAGAGTCCCGTTAGCAGAGAGCAGAGCCCTATGGCCATGTCTCACACAGGGCTCGGGGAGCCACTGCCCTGGCATGCACAACAGTGCTGTGTTGTCCACTACTCCCTCCCTAGTCCCATTCCTTAGAAGAACATCCTCTTCAGCTAGAGATGTAGAGATCTGTTGACACCTGCTGACAAATGCCCAGCAAGTCTGCTGGGCTTCCTTTTGGCAACTCTGCAGAAATTCACCCTTCTGCATCTTTTAGTTGTTGGGAGCCCACCTCTTCCACCTAGAATGCACCTGCAGCTGAGGACCTGGTAGTCATTCTTGTGCTTCAGCCTTGCAGCAAGGATGTCCTGTGCTTCCACCCCCTCATGCATGGAGCAGAGCTGGCTGCCTGGCAAACACTGCATCTCTGTTCTTCCTCTCAATTAGTTGGCTACAGTCTTAATAATATCGATCTTGGAAATCCCAGTGGTGACTGGGAGGGACATGGGCATGAGTCCAACCCAGTGTATACTGGTACTGAGAGGAACCTATGGCTATGGTGGGAGCACAACCAGTGTACATATAGAGTAAATGGCTAAAAATCCAATGGACTTTTTACAGTGTAATAAATACATCCTGTAAATGAATGCTCCAGTGTTGCACTCCTTTTCTGTTGTGGTTCTGTGGCTCAGAGCTTTGGGAAGAATGGAGTTTAGTTGTCAAGGTGCTGTGCCTATCTGCCAGCCCCCTGGCTCCATATACCAGGATCCTCCAACAGTTTGCTCTGTCTGCAGGGAGCACAAAGGGACTTGCCCTGAGAAATGGTCAGCTTGTGGGGAGGCTCAGTGGAGACTGGCTGTCAAGAGGCTAAGCTGAAATTGTTCCCATCATGGGCAAAGCAGAGCTGTAACAGCTAGATTGCTCTTGCTTCTGGCAACAGCTTAGTGTTGGCTGTAAAATTTCTGGTGTGACGTTGGTGTGTGCTCAGGCACCGAGGAGCAGGTGCCCTGCAGCAACTTGGCACACAGCCAGGACACAGACATCAGTGGCAGCCTCACTGACTTTGGAGAAAGGAACGTTTTCTGTCTGATGAAGAAGAAATCCTGGTTTCCACTGACAAGACTCAGACTTGGAGGGGGCATGAGAGATCCTGGGCTCCTGCAGGGCTATTGCCTGCCATGGATATGGACAACCACACGTAATTCCCTCCTGGTATTTTCTGCTTTGTCTTGTGGCAAGATCCACGTGGTGCCACAGTGTCCTTAGAGCTTCGTGGGGCACCAATGCCTCCCGTATCACAAGGACTCCAAGAGGCTCCTACAGGATTGGTAAGGGGTTTAAAAACTTAAAGTTTGAATTGCATGACCGAAGGTCTAAATGCTGCGCGATGGAGAAGTAATGCACATATTAGGAATGTCTTGTTAGTAAATCCTGGTTCCCTTATCCCTTCCACCATTCCTGGAATATTTTCACTGTTGCAGCCTTCTATTCCTCACCTTCCTCTGCTTCCAGATTGCATCCTTCCAGCCCTTAGATGTGTTCATTCATGTGTTTGAATCCTTGTTGCTGCCCATGGCTCTTCCATATCCAGGCTGCCTGTCTTTTATTTCCAAGCCTTCACTTCTATTTACAACTATGTTTTTCTGAGCTGTCTCCAAAATGCTTGCTGGAACGTTTAGATTGTTAACTCTTTGTGAATGATTGCTTAATTGTCAAGTGCTCTGATGTCAGCACTACTGCCCTCTGATCCCTAGACAGTCCTTTCACTTCCCAGAGTGGTGTAAGCTAATGGCAAAGCCTAGATTTCCTGCTGCCTTCAGATAGTTGTTGGGGGGTTCTGTGTTTTAAACCATGTTTGCAAACCCAGTTTCTACTGAGAGCATTGCATTTTAATTCAGACAATTGTGGTGCAAAGCAAAAGCCACCCAAGGAAAACCACAGGAAGCTGGACTGGAATGGAAAGAATGTTGACTGGAGAGACAGAATTGCAATTTAAACAGTTTTCACTAGACTGTAAATAGGAACGGGCTGGAAACCCAGAAAGAATTTCTTTGAACGTTGTTTGGATTTTGCAATAATAAGGTTTCATGTGTTAAAGAGAAAAAATAAGAGGGAAAGGAGATCAGAATCAACTGACAGGTATCATGCGCTGATACCTATTTTTATCAAGAAATCCCTTAACTCTATTTGTAACTTGAATCACATAAATGACAGTTCACAACACTAGCCTTCATGTTTATCCCTGCATGTAGTTTATTCTAGTCTTGGGCTTCTTTCTCATGTTTATAGGTCTGACTCACTGTTTCCCAGAGGAGGCTGGACCCCATAGTTTGGCTTATGTACCTCTTCTCTTCCCGTTTACATTAAGAACTTTCACCACTGAGACCAAATAGAAATAAGTAGTGGGATTTAGCGTGTGTCAGTAGGAAGAGTGGACTTGGTGTTTTGCTCATTGGTGTGAAGCTTCCTTGTGGAAGAAGGCCCTACTGAAAGATAAGCCCTGGCTGCAAAACATAAAGTTGGCACTGAAACTTGTGAAACCGAAGCAAAGCTGCTTTTAGATTCAGTTTTTAAATTGAGCATACTTAGGAGACCTGGTCTGTAGGGAAGATTTCCATGACGCTTCTTCCAACAGTGAGCTGGCTTTTTTAGAAGTTACCGTTTCTCCTTGAAATGCCAGCTGTGTTTTCTGAAAAGCCTGTGCCTGTTAGGCAGCCTCAAGTGTCCCGTGCCCTACTCCTTCTTGGCCCCCAGGTGGCAGGCAGCCTGGTGGCATTTGCGGCTCTCCCCACGGCCCAGGAGCACTCTGAGCCCTGCCACAGCTGCTGGACGGGGCAGCAGCTGCACCGCTGGCCCAGCGCCCGCCGCCCTGGCCGGCATCGCTCCCACCCCCTGTCTGTGCGGCCGTGGGGGCTGCCGGGAGAGGGAGCGCCAGGCCTGCTGTCTGACAGCGGGCAGAAATTCAGGGGGCAGCTTTGGGAGCATGACGGGCTTGGAAGCAAAGCTCTGGAGTGCAACTCCTGCAGTGAGGTGTCAGGGAACTGACAGGCTGAGCAGCAAGGAGAGACCCCTGGGCCTGTGAGGAGGCTGTCTGGAGTACTAGTTAAGGCTGAGGAAGATGAGATCCCCGAGACTACAAGTCCCAGTGTGCAATACTGCTGCTCCAGTTGCATAACCTATGCCCTGGTGAGTTGGCTGGAGGCCTTCTCTGGTGCAGGCCAGGACAGCTGCTGTTCCCAGGCAGCTCCTTGCTGCAGAAGGCACGAGGAAGCTGCAAGCTTTATGAGCACTGGCTGCTCTGGCACCCCAGGGGCACATCCACCCTTTGGACATGCTGCATATTTGGGACTTGAAAAGAGAGGCCTTCAAGCAGCCATGGGGTGGGAGGGTGTGGATTATTGCCCAGTTACTGATAGGGAAATAGGGCTGTGGTGGGCTTGCCACAGCCTGGTGCTCTGCCAGGGAAAGTAGTTCGTTCTCTTTTCAAGTTTTCCACAAAAGAAAAATGGAAATTTCTCTGGGCAGCAGAGTTGGTGGGTGGCTGCTAAACTTAATCTCTAGGTGAGCCATTTGTACAAAGTATCTGTCTGGGAAAGGAGTGGTCAAGCTAAGCAAGTTGGGATGGGTGTGGGGAGGGTGTGAAGTGGTGTGAAGCAGCCGAGATGTCACTAGCTGTTTGAAGTGTCCTACCTGTTTGAGTTTAGTGAGATCGAAGTATTAGTCAACACGGGTGCAAACTGAGCCTTGCCCTCAGGAGGGAGGGCTGGGCCCACGTTAACCCTTTTCTCACGAGGAAGAAAAGGGGACCGAGCAAGGTCTTTCGTACCTCCTGCTGCCCCCTGCACTGAGCACCCTCCGGGCCACGCTCAGGAGCACAGAGACGGTGGAGGGGCAGACAGAGCATCACCCGGGGCTGGGGGCGAGTCCCCCCCGCCCTGTAGGCAGCTGCTGCCATC